TCCCTGCCATGCCCGGAACATCCCCCAACCCTTCTCCCCAGGAGCAGCGGGTGGTTTCAAACAGTGGGCCTTGAGGTGAAAGGCCCACCTCGTAACCCAGGACACCACCAGTACTGCTGCCTCTTGGCTTCCTCCTTGCTGCGCCCTGGGCCTCCCTGCCATGCCCGGAACATCCCCCAACCCTTCCGCCTCCAGCGTGGTGATGTCAGAGGCTCCCATCGGCCTGTTCATGGCAGCTCCATGCTGCATTAAACACTGCCCTGTCCTGCATCATCCCGACAGCCACTGCGGCGGCCACTGCCAATGTGGAGTGTCTTCCAATATGGGGGTTCACCTTCTAGCTCTACATCCAACAGAGTTCTTTGGGGATCCTTAGGGTTCCCCCGGCTCACTTTTAGAAGGAGATCACCAAACCTTTCTTCCTAGTCTGTCTCCATGTAGAAACCCCACTGACACGGGACCACCACTGATGGCCCACTGGTAGGACGAATCACATAGCCTCCAGCATCATAGCGACACATACCACCACAGTGGGGAAACTGACAGACAGGCGGGGCTTCCTCTGTCTAGAAGGTTCTCTCCTCTGCACTCACCTAGCCAACACCTCCTCCTCAGCTCTCCAGAGGTGTGAACAGACTCCATCCCCCAACTGAATCCATTCAAGTCTCGCTGCCATCCACCGATTCCATCTCACAGCGACCTGGCAGGACGGAGTAGAGCTACCCCTGTGGGTTCCCAAGGCTGTCAGTTTCCCTCTGAATGGAAGCAAATAGCCTCCTCTTTCTCCCTGTGGAGCCGCTGGTGAGTCCGAATTGCTGACCTTTTGGGTAGCAGCCAAAGCATACGTCTCTCCACCACCGGGGCTCCCAAACTAAATGAGGTGCCCCACAATCATCCTCTCAGAACATCGCAGCATTCTGCTCCGGAGCACACAAGGCCGCCGCTGTGATGGTACTGCCTCTGGGTAACTGTTGAATCCTGGCTTCTCCCACGAGGGTCCCTAACTGATTTTGGCCTACTGCCTCCTTTTCAAAAATAAAAAATTACTCAGTGCCCCTCTGCAGGGAAAGCCTTTTGTACGACAGCCCGTGACCCCTGATAAAGTGTAGGCATCTGCTTTTGCGGCCCCCAGGATTGTCCCAGTGCCCCTGAGGGGGCAGCATCGCCCACGTGGGGAAATGCTGCACTAGACTGTAAGCTGTATGAGGGCCGTGAGCCCGCCTGTCTGGTTCACAGGAGTATTTCCAGCAGCTGGCCCAGCCCCCCGCCCCCACAGGAGCTCAGAAAATACTGCTGAGCATGAAGGCACGCACACACGCTGAGTCCTTACCCTGGCGGGCACATGTGGGGTGTGAGGCTGCAAAGAACGGCCCGTGGGGGAGGGAGCAATAGGAGCTCTTGGGGGTGGGGAAGTCGTGCTGAGATGGGCTTCACTAACCTCGAGCATCGAAGAATTCGTCATCCGAGCTCTCCACGGAGTCACTGAACACATTGCGCAGGTGCCAGGGGGCACCGCCGCCCGGAGAAGGAACACCTGCCAGAGGAAACATACCTGTCAGCCAAGCCTGAGACCAGGTCCCACCCTCAGGAGGGTGAGCCCAGGCCACCCTGGACTAAGGGTCAGTCCGTGTCCTTCCTGTGTAGGGGCTCACCTTCTAGTTCTACATCGAACGATGTTCTCTGAGGATCCTTAGTTTTTCATGGGCTCGTTTTAAGAAAGAGATCACCAGGCCTTCCTTCCTAGCACCGCCTCCTCGCCCCCCCCTGTCCAGCTCCACAGTTTTGGGGGGCAGGAGCTAGCGTGCCCATTGTGTGTGTACTAAAGCCGGGGCTGGAGGTGGAAGTGAAGGGATTTTGCCGAGGTGACACTGAGCTTCCGCCAGCACAGGTGAGTCCTGCTGCTTACGGGACTGAGAGAACCAGTCTACGGCATCTCTCAGGTGCCGGAAACAGTGGGTTCTTCCTCCCTCACACATGGTGGGCGGGGCTTCTTTCCGTTACACTTCCCAGTCTGGAAACGTGGGGTGTGTCTTACATGATGACCGAGCAGGGTTTAGGTGGCATGGCCTAGTCTTCTTCGGGGGTCTCTAAAGTAGCGTAGCTGTTACAACCAACTGCACCCTAGGTTATAAGACTCCCAGGTCATTCCGACTCATGGCGACGCTTTAGGACAGGGTAAAACCGCCCCTGTGGGTTTCCAAGACTATAACTCTTT